ATGATTTATAAAATAATTTTATTTTGGAAAACAGTTAAAAAAAATATTAAATTAATAATGATTTGTTTTTTCGTCATGTCATCATTAATGCATATTTTTTTTCAAAAAATAATTTGTTAAATTGTGAACTAAATTTTTATTTCGCTTTCTGTAAACCGGCTCCTAAAGGAATTTATCTTGAAACTACGTCAAATTTGTAATGCGATAATTTACGACCCTGATTTCTTGTGGTTAGAAGGGTCGGCATCCCAGCAGGGACTGGTTTTTTCACTTTATTCAACTGTATATTTTATAAATTTTAGATTGCAATACAAGGACTATCAACGCTCCCTCTACAAAATGTCCGAATGGTCGGTAGAACACGGCTACACTCAAAACGCTCAATTTTTAGCATATCCTCGTCGAGCTTTGCTTGCTGGGGCCTCAAACGGCCTCACTCTTAATATACTAACTCCCAAAGATTACTTGGATTACGCTTGCCGAAAAAATTCTCTTCAAGGATATAAAGTTATTTTGCATTCTCCGATGAGGATTCCGCGACCAAGTCAGCAGTATTTTCGAGTACCTTTAGACCAAAGTGTCGTAGGGGCCGTTCAACCGGTGATGATCAGCACTTCGGACAGGGTGCAAATGTATCATCCCAAAAGACGGGGTTGTTATTTTCCCTCAGAGAGGCATTTGAAGTTCTTTAAAATCTATACTTCGCTCAACTGTAAACTGGAATGCTTGACGAACTATACGTTGAGTCGCTGTCAGTGTGTGAATTTTTTTATGCCAAGTAAGTGTTAAAATTTATTTAATTAAATTAGTCTTTATAATGCATTTTAACATTTATTTTTAAAATTTCAAACTGATCCTCTAAAGTTGTTTTTAGACACAAAATTTCACCATTTCAAATCCGATTGTTAGATACTGAGTTCACCAAGTATAAATTTATATTTTTATACGTATCGTTTTTAATTACAAATTTTTGAGGTAGAATGTAATTTTTTCTACGATTAATTCAATTCTACTCAGAGGTTTTTGACTTATTTTATTTGAAAAACTTAAAAATTAAAAGACAAGTCTTTTCATACTAAGTACAGTTAAATATAAGATTTAATTTTATTTTATTAGGTAAGAAATTGTTTGTTTATTTAATTTTCTTAATTTTATTTTTCAAAGCGAAACTTTCCGCTTCTACTACTATAATGATTTTAAAACGATCGAGTTAATGTTTAAACACAAAATTTAAACAATTTAAAATTTCAGTTTCTATTTATTAAAGTGCTTTTAGTAAATTTAAAGTGGTAAGTTACAACTTTTAAAATTTGAAGTTTCAGATTTTCAGTTTAGTAGAAAATTAAATAATAGTGGTCATATTCGCAAAAAAGGTCACTTAAACTTGTATCTGTTTTTAAGTAAAAAAATTCTGTATTTTTTTATAAATGATATATATTTTTTTTTAGATATAATTAAACTTTTAACTACCAATGCTGTAGGTAATTATCCAAATAATTTTTTTTATTTGAATGTTTG